TTTAATGAGAATCGTGTGACTGCCTGCCGTGAAATAGACAGAATCATTAATCAAGATTGCCTCCACACTATGCGAGACATCACTGAAAAAGCCCTTCATGGTAATTCTGGAGAAAGTTCATCAAGAAACTGGTTATTAAATCCATTAAATGCTGCTCAGAGTTCTACATCAAATTCTACTATGATGCCATTTAATGGTGGACAAAGTTCACGATTAAACCAGATGATGATTTCATCCAATGCTAAAAGTGAAGGTTCATATAGAAACCAGACGATTCCCTTTATTGCTTCTCGACACTCTTCATCAAATCCCATTGTGATGCCATTCAATGGTGGGCCAAGTTCAGGATATAACCAGATGATGATTCCATTGAATGCTAATGCTGCAGAAAGTTCATCTAGAAATCAGATAATGATGCCATTAAATGGTGGTCGAAGATCTGTATCAAATCCTAATGTGATGCCATTCAATTGTAGACGAAGATCGGGGTCAAACGAAATGATGATGTCACGTTATTTCCACGAGTCCATAATCCATAACTTCTCTAACATGAGAGTTGGAAGGAATGCATTCCCGAGAAATAATCAACTCATAAATGAGGTACTACCAGAAGACAGGACTATGTTTGTAACATTTTCTAGGGGTTATCCTGTGGCTGAAATGGAAGTTAGGCACTTCTTCGCAACGGTCTATGGGAATTGCATAGAGTCCTTCCGCATGCAGGAGGGGGGGCCTTATGAGCAACCGCTTTATGCTTGGGTCGTGTTCCGCAAAGCCTCGTTTATTGAGGAAATTCTCAATGGTGCGGAGAAGGCCAAGTTTACCATGAATGGAATGCACATTTGGATGCGCAAGTTTGTGCCTAGAAACGAGGGCTCCTCTTAATTGGCGTTGGTGTGATAGAATGCTGGCTGTGTCGTATATCTGTATTTTGATGTTTCTTTCCCTGTTGTTTCCCATTTGACGCTAATGCAATTGTAGCCGTTCGTCGTGTTAATGTAATCGTCGTCTTGTCGTAAATGTAATTTCTCTCTTTTTATGTTTTATTTTCAAATTGACTAGTGAATGTATTATATTAATTGGTGTTACTTGTGTTAATTTCAGTTATTTTGAGTAGACTTGATGGCTTTTAAGAGTGATGTTTGGTAAATAATGAACAGAAAACAAGTAATGAGTAACCTGATAACATAGGTTCTTCTATCAACTCTGCATTTGAATAAAAAATTAGTAATGAGTAATGAGTAATATGTAACAAGAGTGAGGTTTTTCTGAACTTGCGTCAACTCTGAAGACTGTATTCAGACTACAATACCAAGAGCTGCTCTCACACAATCCCTCCGCCTGGTAAAGGTTAATTATTTACTGCTTTCTTGGTTGTGGGACCCGCATGGGTCGGGAAGTTACAGAGACTACCCGGTGACGCATGACGAAAGCTGACAATTTTTTTTACATTTTTTCTCGTATTCTTATCTGTTCAATATAAAATAACAAATTTTTCACAGTTGTTTACTTTATTCAAATCAAGTCCAGTTTAGCATACGAAAGGATGTTTGTTTGGGAGAAATTATAATAGAATTAAATGAAAATAAGTAGTAAGTCCCACAAAATATGTAGATAATGAGTAAGAGTAGGTTTGAAAATTTAAAAATAATAAATGTTTCACTTCAAATTATAATGATATTTATTGACATACCATGTTTTTGATGAACGAGAGCTTCTAATTAAGTCAATATAAATAACATTGGAAACTAAATTATTTAAAATTAAACCAACTGTGTAAACAACTATTGAAAATATGTGTGTGTGAGAGGTGTACCTTTGTTCAAACACTACATATAAAAAAAACCTGAGTTCGACCTCATCTTAAACTCACCTAAAACTGTAATAAATTTTGTCTTGGCTTTGGTGGTTGGGGGGTTGGCGAGGGGTTTTGGGTCAAATGCACAAGCATTAATTTGGCTTGTTATGACATGAAATACTTGAGTCATTTAATCACAAAAATCTATGTGCGCAGAAGAATATTTGCCTAAAGGGAGTGAAAGGTTGGATTATTAATTATTCCAATTAATGGTTTTGTAA